ATGATATGTTTTCTAATCAGGAGTTAAATTTATTTTGACACAGTTTAAAAATGTCTATTGCATTCTGTCCACACCATACTTCTGAAGCATTAATTCAATAGTTAGTGCACTGAGGTAGGGTAGGAACAAATGCTTCCAACTCCATAGTGCAGCCCGGACAAATTTATGGCACTACCGAATACTTTGAGCAACACTTGGGGCAATAAAACACTTTTAGAAGTACTAATGGTGATTAAATATTGAAACAAGGCTCCCAAGATTTAATGTGTTATTAAGAAATTCACATGCAGAGTACTTTATAAAATTCCTCAATATACTAATTACTCCAACGAAGTTTCTAAATATATAGGTTTCTTAAAATGTGACTTATTAAGTTTAGCTTGATCTCAGAGCGTAGATAAATCAAAATGATACAACTGTTTATAGAGACTTGGTCTTTCGCTCTCTCAACATGTCCGTGGAAAGATATTGGTATCCGATTCACAATAAGAAAGTAGATGCTCCAAGAGGTTAATAATAGCTCCCACTTACTGTACATTTACTGGATGACAAGCAACACAGTCTAAACATATTAGCTCATGCAATTTTTATACTATCCCTGTGATTTATTGAAAACATCGTGTGAGAGATGAGAAACCTGAGCCAATCTCTGCGGTACAAGATCAGAGTGGGGGCTTCAGCCAAGCAACCCACAATGCAGGGTGGGGCGCTGGCTGCCCCCACCCCGGGTTTTCTTCTCCCACTGCAGGAACCAGAGGCTCAGGGGCGACCGTGTCATGGGTGAGGGTCGCTGTGGTCAGCATGTAGCTGTGGCCTCTTCTCTTACTCTCTAATGCAGCCTGCTTTAGTTTTGGGGGTGCGGGTTGAGGGTACTTAGGCCTCCCCCCAGGTTCTGGGGATCCCCTCAGTGGTGTCTTGTTCCTGAACCGTTGTTAGTTCTTCTGAGGATGAGTGAAGTCAAGAACAACTATGTCATTGTCTTGGTAATGTCACCCTGAGGAAATGGATTTGAATCGAAAGCTCGTAACAAGACTGGATTCAATCCTAGGCTTTTGATACCAGGACTTGGAAATTTCACCCCAGTGTTTTAGAGTGTATAAGGATATATAAAAATGCAATATACTTAATTTACATATGCAGCTCGATAACTCAGGTTATGAGGGAAAGCAAACTGAAATTTTGCATTATTTCTAAGTTAATCATAAAAGAACCTATAACTGTCCATGTGACAACTCCAAAGCCATTGCCCTTTGTGGACTTTTTAAACACTTGAAAAAATGTTTTTGAGTGCCTACTACATCGTACAAATGATAAGATTGTAAAACTATTAGAATTAAAATTTCACAAAGCCATTGGACTTAAGGTCAATAAAAAACTGAAGGTACTTTAATATAATAGAAACGAAATTAGAAAACCAAGTTCAAAAATGATATTCAGTAAAATTGCATGAAAAAAAGGCCCACCAAGTATGTAGGACTGAATCTTACAAATATGAGTAATGCCTCTATACCAAAACCTAAAGACATTGCTGAAAGAAAATAAAATGTATTCTGTTCACAGATGGGAAGATTTGGCATTGTACAGTTGTCCATTCTCCCAAAATTGAGTTAATGATTTAAGTCTTACTTAATTTTTTGTGAAATTTGCTGCTTCAAAAATTCACATAATGGCTGAGACAATCTTGAAAGAAATAAAGAGGAGGAGATATTAAACTTTCAGATATTGAGACCTTTGTGAGCTACCATAATGAAAGCTACATGTTTTGACTCAAGTACAGGCAAACACTGGGACAAAACAGGGAAGGTGGAGCAAAGCCACCTTCACAAACACAGATATATTATCTGTGACAAAGTCACCACTGCAGAGTAGTAGAGAAATGATGATCTGTTTCCAGAAAATGTTTGTAGGTCAATTAGATGTTCAGGTGGGAGAAAAATGAATCTGGACTCCTACCTCCTACCACAACCCAAGTTCAATTCAAGATAAAACACAGACCTGAATGTGAAGGGTAAAAATACAAACACATGCAGAAAAAAAGTATTCATGATATCAGGAATATATCTCAATGAGATCCTACACAGGACATAAAAGGGACTAAGTATTAAAAAAATTTTTGTGACTCTGACTTCATTACAATAAAAAATGTCTGTTGCTCAAAGAACACCATTAAGAGAAAGAACAGATAAGTAATAGCCCAGATGACACAGCCATTAACGTGTCTGTCAAAGAACTCATATTCAAAACATCGAAGAGCTCCTATTAATAATAAAAGATAAACTGTCCAATGTAAAAATCAGCAAAAATTTAAATTAGATGCTTCATGAAACAACCTATTCCGATGACCTATGAGCACATGATAAAGTTCTTGAGACCAGCAATCAACAGGAAATGTACCACACACCTACCAGAACGGCAAATGACATGTGACAATACAACTGTGGGTTAGGATGTGGAACAACCGAAATTCTCATATTTTGTTGGTTGGATCACCCATTTTCAAATACTGAACAAGTATTTCCTAAAGCTAAAGAAACAGCAACATACAATGATATATCTCATGGGCAAAGAGCTGAGCCAAAAAAAAATCAGACACAAAAAAGCACCTACTATGTGATTTACTTTCCATGGCAATGCAAGAAGAGGCGAGGTTAATCTGGGGTGACAATCTGTACTGATACTATTCTGGGCTTCCCATCAGAGCAGAAGTCAAAGCTACAGGAAATGTACTATAGCTTTTTCCCTGGGTGACAATTATACAGGTATACACACAGATTAGAAAGTCATCAAACTGTGTCCTTAATATTTATGCAGTATGTTGCTTGCACATCTTTGCTGCCCTTAAACATTTAAAATATTTTCCAATTTCGATAATGAAAAGCCTATCTGAAAAAGTATACGCAGTGTGACATGCTTAACTGAAATGAGCTTTTACAAATAAAGAAAGAAGTTCTGGAGTATAAATACAGACACAGAACACATGAGGTGCAAATGATCAAAATGTACGTGGAATGCTAGTCAAACTCAGTAATGGGCAAATAATTTGAAGGAACATCTAACCATATTTTTCAAAGAGAGAGAAATGGCAAAGGAGGAAACAAATGAAAAATTGTAAGGTCAGCTAGTGTTTAGGGAAGAAAGTACTTGCCTCTATTTTTAAATAAGGTTGGAAACATTTCATGAGGTGGGCTGCTGCTACACGTTAAGGTAATCTTTCTAATAGCTATTAAAATATGAAGTGACCACATACTTCAACCTAACTTCTGTGGATCTATGTTAGGAAAATAAACATGATGATATTCGTAATAGCCTTACATATCAATACGGTTCAGTACATACAAGGCCCAGTTTCAGTTACTCATTCGTTCAACAAATACTGAACAATGACTATGTTTCTGATACTGGAAAACAGCAAGGCTTTTCATGACATAGCCTCATTTGATCCTCTCAGTGGAATGGTCGTATCATCATCATTGTCGTCATTTTAGATTTGGGATAACTAGAGAGGTGATAAAGACCACATGGCTGGTGAGTGGGGAGACGGGATCTGAATCAGGTACATTAACACCAAAAGCATCAGGTGTTAAGGAACTGCACCCTCAGGCAACTGTTCAAATGTGTATGTGTGTGATTGTGTGTGGTTGTTTATATGTGCCTATTAAAGCAACAGATATAAATACATATTAGATATATGATGTCTTCTATCAAATAACTGCTAATAATAGTGAGATATTAGAGAAAACATGCATGTTCATTAATAGAAACGTGTAAAAGTTTTTGTTGCAGCTATATACCATTGTGCACAATACAGTCATTTTAAATGAGAAGGCACATAACATGAAACGTTGCCCGTGACATTTGGAGGGGAAGTATTTCTTTTTAGAGGACTCAAGAGAGAGCATTTGTGTCATAACTTCATTTTGGGGAAAATTACATTTATAACCTAGCAATGGCCACTAAAATTTTGGAAAGGTATAAAGATAACTGTACCTATCTACGAAAGTAGAAAAATCAACTCTACTTTACAGAATTTTGAATCGTTTGGATTTTCTTGCAATTAATATTTTAATAGCATAAAATAATAATTTTATTTTATAGTACAGTCGATTTTATAGACCATGTGTCAGTAACTTCAAGATAATTCTAAATTTAACTTCTGTTTCTTTTAGTATGTAGTGTGTGTTATCTTCTTAAACTGTATGGCTGTTTTTAGCAGGAAAAGCTATGGAGACCATAAACCCAGTTTATTACATGTCAAATATCATTTCTCAGTTTGTGTCTGATACTCTAAGTCCCACTTTACCAACAGCCCTACAGTGAAATTGAAACCAGAAAAAAAAAGAAAGAAAACACAGCTTATTACATACTGTTCTTAATTTTAAAACTGATCGCAGTAGACACATTCTAATTACAAGTTTTCCCTGGTATAGTGGGTTGAAGTGAGACCCCCCACCCCCAAAATATGTCCACCCACAACCTGTGACTGGAGCCTCATATGGAAAACCGGTCTTTGCAGATGTAATTAAGGATTCCGAGATGAGACCGCACTGCATTAGGATGGGCCCTAAATTTAACCAAGAGTAGTATCCTTAGCAGAGAAGAAAATGAGGGGAAGATGCAGAGGAGAGGGTCATGTGTCTATGGAGGAAAGGACAAGACGTACACAGCTATGAGCCAAGGGGGCCTAGGGGTGTCCAGAAGCTGAGAGAGACACAGACAGACAGACATACAGAGACACAGACAGACGAGAGTAGATTCTCCTTCCTCCAAGGCTGCAAAAGAAACCCACTCTGCAGATCCTGATTCTAGGCCTCTAGCTCAGAACTGTGAGAGCGTCAGGTTCTCTGGCACTAAGCCTCCTCCCACTTTGTGCTAATTTGTTACAGTCATCCCAGCCAACGGATACACCTTCACATTTTAAAATATTACTTCTGACACACTTAGTAACAACATAATGGAATACAATAACTAATTCTCTGAATTCTCTGCAGTCTGAGTCTTACCATTGAAACTCTGTCCTATCCGTGTTGCGCCGGACGCAGAATCTGCAACGGAACCATGTAGAGTCCGTGCCTCAAAGGCGGTATCATCCTCCTCCACCCCATTGATGAAGAAACTGATTTTTGTCTGGTGCACCTGTAAGAAATGACCACCATTACTGTGTTAGCTGCATAACCTTTAAGTTTGCAATAAATACAGTTTAGCAGCCTTAACTTAATTTTCTGTTGCTCCGCTTCCTTCATTTGGAAAGACAGAAGAATTCACTCTAATGACTCAGCGACGTATCTCTGTGTTTATGTAACGAGATATACGCCTGCGTATCGGAGTTTTGGGCTGTGAGGACATCGACCTGAGCATTCACAGGTATATGCAATTGTTTGTGCCATGTGTTTAACAGTTCTGACGGCCACGCTTCCGTAAGCTCTTTGAGGCTATGTTGTTCCTTTAAATACTGGTCAAATGTGATACAGCCATATTTGGAAATAAATGCAAATGAATACAAGAGAGAGAAATATTCAAAACCAAATATTTGTATTGCCTTGTATTTTGATGTCATATATACATACATATATGACATAGAAATAATTCAGTTTAAGCTCTAACACACAGTACTTCCCACAGTACTCTTATTTTCTTAGGTGTTAGTAATTCTCAGCTGTACTCTCCCATATACAGAACTTCTAAAAATTGCCAGTCTTTTTTAGGCTAATTATTTAGGCAACCTAAGAACTCTCTAGACAAGGGCTTAGTAAACTTCCTCTGTAAACAGCCAGAGAGTAATTTTTTTTTTTATTTGCAAGCAAATGATTTTGTGGCTTGAACGACCCAGGTCACAATGGTCCAATTCTGCTGCTGTAACAGGAAGGCAGCTAGAGACCACGTACAAGAGGTTAGTATGGCCGTCTTCCTGTGAAACTTTTATAAAAGCAGGTGCCCGGCCAGATTCAATCTGTGGGGTATAGTTTGGGGACCCCTGGATTACGTCATTCAAAGTTTGACATCCGTGTTTGTGTGATCTCTGAATAGCAATTCAAGGTTTTGTGCAGATTACTTCATACGTGGTATCTCCACGAAATCTTCCGTGATTGCACACTTCTAAATAAACTGAGCGGCAGATTTGACATCAACTGTATTCCCTGCAAATGGTCCCATTGAAGTGTTTGTAAGTTGAATGTAAAAAGAACTGTTGGTACTCTCGGCAAGAGGTTGTGTGCAATGGCAAACTAAGGCTGGTGAGGTGGATGGGGTCCGGAGAGAGAGAGAGAGAGAGAAATTTAACATCCTGCAGTTGAAATCTGAGATGCTAACATTTTAACGAAAATATATCAAGTCATAGCATTCAAAATGCTGGACCATTAAAATGGCCTCACAATAATGGACAGAAATAAACAACCACTCTCCAGCATCTTTAAATCATGGGAATGATGTTCTTAAGAACCCCTTCAAACCTCCCCTTTCTCTAAAATCAAACCAAACCTGGGCACTGGTAATATTAATTCTTCAAAAAGTTTTCCAGTACAGCTTTCCTGCATTCTCTCAACCCGATTCATTTAAACCAGGTTTGTCCTTAAAATCCCCTTTCCCGGTGTTATGTTGTACTTAATTATAAAACAAACCTTCTCTATAAAGACCAAAAATCACACACCCACTTCTGGTAGGTTTGGATACATACTTCTCTGCTGGGTAGCAGGGCCTGTATATTTTTTGCACCCCATTTTTTACAGCCTGTTACTGTCATTTGGTGTTTGACTGTTATCATTATAAAAGATACAGGCTTTTCTACTTTGTTATTTGTAGCATTATCTCATGTTTTACAGCATCTTTGAACAACATGCAGGCACATGAAATATAACTGGCGAAAAGTTCTCGATGGTATTAATGCATAAAAAAGAATGTGGCCCCATCTCCACTGTCCTTACCGAGCCAAAAGCTGATGAACGGCCAATTTCCCTTTATCACATTAGCACAGCCATGAGGGAAACACATTTGTTCTAGTCAGCTACACTAAAGATACTATTACCAATCTAACATATACATGTTTTATATCAGCAGTATTCTCAGAGCATGAGAGAGCCAACCATATATTAACACTAGCATGACAGTTTATTTAAGAAAAGAAAATTGTCTCCGTAGAGGGACAGAAGTTAGAAATGTATGGGGAAAGCTCAGTGTCACCGGTCTAATAAAGGTAATAATTCTTGGGCTTTCTTTATAGCAGGTAACCTGCCTGTGACAGCTGTGTCATATCATTCAAATAAAAATGTTGTCTTTTACAAGTTTAAGTGCACCTTTATTTTGAGTCAGATAGGAAACATGTTTTTGATTTTCTGTGTGTACTGTATTAGATCTATCGTTGGGAGTTCAAGACCTTCTTCTTTCTTTTTTTTCCCTATTTTTTAACAACTCATCACATATTTGCTTAGTGGAAGGATTCAGTGTCACTCACAGTGAATTCTGGAAGGATGCTTTCACTTCGTTGGTGCTTAAAAAAAATGATGTATGATGATCCCAAGCCACTCTGGCCTGTTGTCCCTTCCCCTACCAACCGCCTTTCCATAAATAAGATTAAATCTTCTTTGGTGCCCTGGACCATGTTTTATATTCCAAGACTCTCTAAACTACTTTGCAATTCTGGTTTGGGCGCCCAGCTCAGAGAATCTGGCGAGATGAAGGTGGCCTTTTGCAATAGCTCATTCTGATGATCCCCTGGCTAGTTATTTAGGGGGATAGAAATATATACACTAGAATTTCTGATTTGTGAAGAGAAAGGCTTTCACTGAAGTAAACTCCCCACCTATCTCATTTTCCACCCCATGAGAATTAGAGGAGCTTGTATATGTTGCTTGGTGTGGCTTGAAAGAACAGATTGGCAAAATCAGTAGCAGCTGCGGAAAAGCCTGAACTCTCGCATAAGAGATTCAAAAACACTTTGGAAACAAGAGGTAGGGAAGCAGGACCTTTTCAAGCCTTCCAGCTCAGGGTGTGGTATTTTAACCTTTTTTGGGGTCAGATTTGTGTTCTGGTGATAGAATGTACTCATTCACTTGAATACAAGAATATATTCGATTTAAAAAAAAAATGGAATCCCTGACCATTCTCGTGTGAGTATAATTTAAAAATCCACAAAGTCATACAGCAGATACCTGAGAAGCCACTAAGGGGAAAACATACAATCAAGTCCACCTCGATGACAGTAATTGTCCACACTCACACATCCCATTGTAATGTCAAACCTTTGTCGCTGTTCTACTCTGGCTGGCCACCCACACACAGAAGGAGCTGCCGGTGGATGGGGAAGCACAGACGGAGCATCTGCTCTGACTGCCTCACTTGGGAAAGAGTTTCATAGTTTTCCTGTTACCTCTATCCTCCTGATTTCAATTTAATTCGATAAAGCATCAACCCTGCACTCACATTGGTTCTGAGAGTTACATCAAGAAAAGAAAATCGGGGTCCTTTCTTTCAAGGAGCTTGTACGTATAAAACAGCAGAATAATTTTAATACTGTTTGAATTGCTACAAATGATGATGTTTGTTTTTGATTTAAGTGCTAATGCTTAATGCAGTTAATGGATGAAGTGCTGGCTTTTCAGGGAGCAGTTTCGAGAAGTTACGTCTTGAGCTGTTGATGTGTATGGTATGTAGTATATTTTAGGGTCTCCGTTGCGAGACTTGCCTTCCCTGAATCACTCTCAAGCACCCAAGCATTCCAGCTCTACTCGTGTGGTAGGTCTCATTTTAAAGCAGACCCATTTTAACCATTTTGAATAACACCTTTTTCATCGACTTAACACAAAGTGATTTGGCAACAGATCGTAAATCCAAACTCACTCCCACATTTTGACTGTGAAGAATTCAAACAGAAAACACTGCAATGTGGCCCCAAAGAGACAACTTTATGGAGGAAAAACGTCTTGCACTTCCTGAAATACAAGTGCCTTGAAATAGAATTTTTATTTCTAGATTAAGGAAGAATTTGCATAAAAGACTCGACGATCCCATCTATAATTTTTAAGCATAAGGAAGGCAATGAAGCCTAAAACTTCCACAAGGTTATATTGAAACATCACACGTGTGCTCTAGTCCCCTGCCTGGGAGAGTGTGGGATGCATCTGCTTACCCTCCTAAACCCAAGGCCCCGGGGTCTCCCTCATTCATCCCACCCAATTTTCCTTCTAACCTGTCACCAACAGCCAACGTCAATGTGATCAGTGAGGTTGCCTCACAGTCTTAGGAATGACACAATGCTTCATTCTAGCTCCATGTTTCGCTCAAGCTGTTTCCCTATGGGAATGACCTTCCTGCCACCTTTCACTCACCTACACTTTTAGTATTTTCAAATATATATTCCTCCAATAACCATTATGTGTTTGTAGTTATTAAAAAACCAGCATGTCAAACACTGTTCTAAACGGTTTTTGTGCATATTCATTCTCTTATCCGTGGAACCACCCTGTTGCAGGGTTGTGATTATCTCCATTTTAAAGAAAATGAAGTTGAATCACAGAGAACTGAGAACAAAACCAAACCAAAAGATTGTATTATTCAAGGTCACGTAGAAGGCTGACTGGTGGCAGAGCTTGTTTCCGCCAATTTTAATTAGTCAATACACCCAGTTCATGTTCCAAAGCAACTGTCTAGTTCATTGGACGCATCCAGTGAGTCCGTCCCTGCAGCTCTGCACACTGATGACTGAGGCTTCGAGTCCACTGGACCCTGCGCAGAAGGGTGGCAACCTCAGTGAGGCGTACCGCCCCTTGCCCTGTGCTGGGCACTGTCCCTTGCTCATATCACCTTGACCTCTCAGGCTGCCTCTCTGCAGTGCTCATGTCCCCCACATGAGGACACCCAGGTTTAAGTGCCCCAGTATTATGTTTCTGCAGACTTTGGGAACTCTTTCGTCTTCACATAGCTCTTCCTAATGTATAACTGAACTGAAAGCTATCCCCTTATAACCTCAATGCCAAAGCCAAAGCTCTGGCTCCTGACATCTCACTAAACAATCCCTCCACCTGTTCCAGGAAGACGCTTACACAGGTGCAAAGAAAAGTGATGTCCCTCTCCTCCTGCATCCTCTTCAGGATAAATGCGTTCTGCAGTGTTTCAACTATGACATGGTTCTGGGTCTCTCTCTC